GTTGGCAGTGGCCCACCTCTCAGAGTACATACACCTGTCAGAGTAGATAGATTCAACTACCCCTCAAGTTTTGCTGCACTCAGGGCTTTCTATCTGAATGCAGCTTTTGACATGCAGAGCTAAGACCTATGCTGGTTTAAATGCACTCACAGTTACAAGATCATGCAGTGAGTATGATAAATAATGTAAGTATAATCAGGCACCACCATTTTATTCAGCTGTGAGAAATAAAAAGTCTTTGGTATATACCATCATCTTTTCTATCTAACTTAATTAAATGGTAAAATATTGATATAAAATATAACTCATTGTCTCTTGGGGAAAAAGACCGATGCTTACTTTTACATTGTGCTTAATATGATGCAATCTGAAATTTTTGTTTATCTACATTTTCAGTAATATTTTCTGGTAACTTGATTCTTGTAGGTTAAACTGTGGTACGACAAAGTGGGACATCAGTTAATAGTAAATGTTCTGCAAGCAACAGATTTGCCACCAAGAGTAGATGGACGCCCCAGGAATCCCTATGTAAAAATGTATTTTCTTCCAGACAGAAGGTAGTAGTATTCCAGTTTAGAAAATCGTATCGTAATTTATGGTGTATTGAATCAACTTTTAATTGAATGCTTATGAAGCTAAGAATCCCTCTTAATAATTTGTTACAGTTAGATTAAGTATAACAAAAAATTGTGCTTGAATCATGCAAGTCAGTGTGAATTTAATTTTGTGGACTTCTGGATGAATGTGATCCACTGTACAGCAAATACTTTTGTAGGCATGATAGAATGAAAACAGTGAGTGCTGATGAGTATATGGCATTTTGTGATTTGTCTCTACAAACAATTCACAACAAATATTTATGTTTCAGTGATAAGAGTAAAAGGAGGACCAAAACAGTAAAGAAAAGTCTAGAGCCAAAATGGAACCAAACTTTTCTCTACTCACATGTACATCGTAGAGATTTTAGAGAACGAATGCTTGAAATAACCGTATGGGATCAGCCAAGAGTACAAGAAGAAGAGAGTGAATTTCTTGGAGAGGTGACACATACAATCACATTTCTCCTGAGTTCATTGTTTGGTTTTGAATACATCTGCGTATATATTTGCTATATGTGTTTGTGTGTGCACGCCTTAAAAGTAAACTTAAAACCTGTTAATTTTTCTACTAGATTCTTATAGAGCTGGAGACAGCACTTTTAGATGATGAACCACATTGGTATAAGCTACAGACACATGATGAATCTTCACTACCTCTGCCTCAGCCATCACCTTTCATGCCAAGAAGACATGTTCATGGTGGAGAAAGCACTAGCAAAAAATTACAAAGTACGTCCAAATTCCATTCATCTCTCTGAAATTTTATATTAGAAATTCTGGATATGGTTTAATATTATTTAACTTGCAGATACAAGATAAAAATACTATTTCATATTCTTTAAAAATAATGAAGATGTGTGGCAGAAAAGAGATGCAAATTATGACATGGCAGCCTTTCTCTTGTGACACGTAACTTTTATTGGTGTGATACCTACTGGGATTGGTTTGGTTTTCGCTGGCATAAGGAAATTATTCAAACATTTGTTTGCATAAATTTCCTTTTAAATAGAAAAATGTTCATCATTAATGCATACTTTTTTAATAACTAAAATCTTTATTTTAAAAAATAAAGTTTTTAAAGACTTAGGAGGCGTAAAAGCACTTTTCGTCATGCAGTTAGTCTCAAGCTCCGATACGCTCAATATCAACAATCAGATGAGAAGTGTACTCTTTCAGCAAAGAGAAGTTGTGTGCATGTATTTGGGAGGTACAGTTGTTTTGATGGGTGATTTCAGGTTTGTATGAGGCATATTAAAACAATGAATGTATTGAAATATTTGAATATTGTAGCTTCTCTGTTCATTTATGAATTTTAGATTTATTTAGACACAAGAAGGCTGTAGGGGATTATTTTAAAATACATTTCTAAGCTATTTTTCCGTTTTTTCTTAAACATGGGTGTCATTCATTCCAGCCAATGCATAGGAAATTGGTGCACATTCAGGAATGAATAATAAAAATATGATACTGCTGTAATTGTTCCTTGAGGATATATATAGAGTGAGCAAATAAAAGGTTAGTCTTAGTGAGTTTTTTGAACTGTTCTCAGAGCTGGCAGTGGTGTTTCCTCTTCCCCTCTCCCACCATATGCTGCCATCTCTCCTTTCCTGTTCAGCAAGCTGAGTCAGCTTACTCACTGAAATAGCACAAAAGTACTTATTTTCTTTATTTGAGTAAACTTTTTGCTGGTTTAGTGAGATAAACTATTCTAGTAGAGGATTACTGAGGACTTGAGGAAAGGAGAGGGGGAAAGGAGGCTGCAGCAGCTGTAAGATGTTATATTGGCTCAGCTGTGTTGTGGAATGTCACTGTCAGTTACTGTAGTTTAACTCTCCTCCTCTATTGTTTAGGCTTAAAATCATCTTTATAATTTCAGTAGTACATTATATGAACATATTTTTACATTTTATAACACGACCACATATTCAGGTATTTGTTTACCTTACTGTTGTGCAGGATCTCGGCCAATCAGTGATAGTGACATCTCAGATTATGATGTTGATGATGGTATTGGAGTTGTTCCTCCAGGTGCGTGGGTGAACAGCATGGTCCTGCTTTCTTCTTCTTCTTCTTTTTTGCTTGTTTGTTTGTTTTTTTTCTTTATAAGATTTTGGAATATTGAGGATACTGGTTTCGGAGAGTGCATTGTGGAAAAAACCCACAGTTTTCCTGATTATTCCATGATACCTGTCCTAAATCATGGTGAATGAAAAGATTCTATTATTCATTCATTGATATTTCTTTTACATATCATTCTTCATATGTGAACCACTGGATGGTTCAAATTGTTTAATTGTTTGCTGCGTAATGTTCCAAGCACTATTTAAAATATAAATTAAATTAAAAAATAATTTAAAAATAGTAATTAAAATTTCAGTGTTTATTGCAAGCATTTTTTTTTATTTTGCTTTTTGCTTAAAACTCAGATATAATGCAGTCTCCCATGGGCTTTATTGAGAATGCATGGCTGTAGATTAAGATGCATGTAGCATGGCTATATCTTTTATAGGTTTCATAAGCTTTCATGAACTATCATTACCCTAAATGTTCATAAATATATACTTGTAGAGGCTATCATGGTTTGACTTTCAGTTCAGCATTCCCTACATACAGAAAATCTTGAGGATCACTTTGGATACCACATTTTTCTACTTCTATTTGACTGTTTCCACAAGTCAGATGAGTATGTTTCCCAATTGTCCCAAACTAAGTGAAAAGTGGTAATGCCATTGTCAGGTCTAAATCAGTATATCTGTGGATCTTCCTGATGAAAATCACTGATTTAAATCAAGGTGTGGTTTGGAAAGCTCTCTATCTTCCTGATCTGTGTTTAAAACAATCTGACTATTTAATTATTCATTCTATAACCATACAAATAAGTCACATATTTTATTAACACTAGCATTTTGATATTTACTGAGCCAAATTCTCCTTCCTTTGATGTTTATTGGGTTCTTTCCTTACTTTAATACACTCACCACCTGAGTTACTAAGAGGGAAATTTTTTCAGGTATGTCTAGTAATGATATTTGCTTTAATGAAGTTACTAATCTTGATGTTTTTATTGAGATGTATTGGACTCTATTCACTGGGTCAGCACTTGAGTAACTGATTCTTGTGGAAATTACTTGGGACTATGCATGCTCAGGTGTGCCTTTGAAGAACACATGGGCACAAATTTTCGCAGAAATCACTGTAGAAGATTGCAAGATTTAATCTGTAGTAATTTACAGTGAGCTGAGATTTACAATGAGATTTACAATGAGCTGAGTGTGTCTAACCTGAAACTCAAAGGACCTGGTGAAGAAACTCCTTCTGCAGTCCACCTAGTCCACAGTCTTGCATCTGACCTGACTAAGCAGAAATGTGTTTATTTTGAGTTTAATGGAGACATTTGTTTGGCAATTGTAAGTGGAGTTCATCTGTCTGTGATCCCTATGCGAATTTGATATATATTGTGTGGGGTTTTTTTTTGCAGGTGTGACCTGATTTCTTAAATGGGGGTTAGTTAGACTTTAGGCACACAGTGGCAACGATAATTTCAGTCATCAGCCACAAACGTGTGACAGCCTAGATAATCTATGAAAATGTGTTTTGCAGTGAGAGCTGGCAAAGTTTGCCAGTCCCACCGTCTACTGAGCTGCTGGAGAATCTTAGTCACAGATTCACAAATGTGCCTGCACACCAAGTTCAGAGATGCATTGCTACCCTTCTATCCCACTTTCCTTACTTATCACATTGCTAAGTCTTCCAAGACTTTGGATTGCTACCTTGATTTGCACTGAATGAATAGTGCACTACCTTCTCCATCTAACAGTCTCCTCTGTTAAAATTAAGTTGCATGCAAGTTCCTTGTGCTGCAGGGTCTTCACCCCTTCCTTCCTCCTGACCCCAATACCAGGGACCTCACCAGAGTGCACTGCAGCTCTTGTCCAGTCCAGATTTCCCACACATTCTCCTGCAAGGTATGCCTGTGAGAGGGAATGACGAATATAGGTATTTCCCTATAATGTAGGATGATGGTGCAGCTCAGGTGCACCCTTAGACCTTTGTGGCATAGCCACTATTGCCTTCAACTCGATTAGTCTAAGATTGATATACTCCTCAACAGAAGAATATCAAAATCGTGTTTACAGCGTGTGATGCAAAAGAAAATGTTTCCCTATAAAGCCTCATTTTCCTTCCTTTACCACTTACTTTCTGTTACACACCATGATCCTGATATGATAAATAAGCTCTGTCTTTATTAAAGGTATATTCTTACAGTTCTCAATTTACTCTTTTTCTTGAAATATGTAGGAGAGAAGGAAGTTATTTTTCCTTTTTACTACTTCATGTTTTGCACAGATATTCTTCCTCATTTTCTAAACTGCAAAATATAGAAGCACAAGAGTTCGCTTGATCACCACCGTAAGCTAAGAAAGGAAGGGTTAAAGTATTTTGGCTAATTGAACTAATATTGGAAATCCTTAAACTATAATTTCAATTTACCAACTGCTAAGGCAGATGCTGTATTAACATTTATAAATTACAGAGTAAACTACCACTGCTTGTTGATAGAGGTAAGGAATGCTCCATCTAAAATAATAGGACTTTGATAACTTCAAGAATATTTTAAGAAAAAATATTTTTACCTTGTCATATCACAGATGTGTTTTATCTTTCATATAATTGTACTGTCCTCATCTATTTGGTATCTTGCAGAGATATATGTCTCGCAGAGACTTTTTTTTTTTAAATCAGCTCATAGAACTGTTCATAAAAGGAGTTTATATCAACAGCTAAAAGTAATTTGAAGCTCACCTTTAACAGAATTGATTTTTGATGGGATTTTGTGGTATACCCACATCTATTTACAAGAAGAAAATATTATTTTAATTCTCTTAGCCTCTCCTCATATGAGAGATGCTCCAGTCTCTTAATTATCTTTATGATCCTGAGCTGGACTCACACCAGTAGCTCCATGTCTGTGTCGTACTGGGGAGCCCAGTCCACCAGATGTGGCCTTACCAATGCTAAGTATATAGGAAGCGTCACTGAAGGATCAATAAAGGTTTAAATGAGAACCAAACATGTGTTGAGGGCTATCTCTTTAACCAATACTTCAGTAACTTTCTTAACTAAGAAGAAAATTATCTGATATGCAGTTGGCAGTATCCCAAAGGATATTTTTAATGAGCTGTATTGCTTATGCTATGGGTAACTCTTCAGAACAATTTATTTCTCTTTTATATATAATTTGCATAAATGGTTGCATACTTACCTTCCCCTTGTAGCAACAGGGTGACATCAACACAACACCTTGTCGTTGTCTGTATTGTCTTTAAAGAAAAAAAACCCCACAAATTCTGGTATCAAAAATTTACTAGAACCATTTTCATCATCCATCCATCTTCCATTTCATGTCATACCTGACAGTTTCCCATGAGCAACTGAGAAACTACCTCTGCATAAACTACCATAAGCTTGACTGCTGCTGTCACGCTGGTCCATGCAAAAAATTCTCTGCTCACTCTGGAGAGCACAGAGCCTTTGTATTTGTGGATATGAAGAAACGTTACTGTTGCTGTCACTGTCATGGGCACTCTGGAAGTATGGTTGCGATTTGACCAACTGGACAATACTTGAGCTAATACTTGCGATGAATGTTATTTGGTGGTGTTCTGTCTGTTCTGTAAGCTTTGTGTACTCACAGTGCACAGGTTTCAGTTACTGTTCCCTGGATGGCTTGGCTACGAAGAATATATAGGATAAAATCATCTTTTTATAACAGATTTTTAAGTGTACAGGATAATACTAGGTGTGGGTTTTTTAGGCAGAGTAGAGATGCTCTAAAAATACAGTTTAAACTGAACTTTATATTTAAATTTTTATTTTAAAATTATGCATATTTCAGTACAGTTGCCTAAAGCTTGGAAATAAGTTTTGGATTTCTTTGATTTTAATGTTGAATAAATGTAAACTAGTGTTCCTTCTGATGGAGATGGCAGGATTTTATCTAAAACAAGCTTGTTTGTAAAAATGAAGTATCTTAGATTTAGTTATCCTGCGAAAGGGAACATATCCAGCTTGTGTCATGTGTAGGTTTTTTTTCCCCTCTGACAAAAAACCTGACATTTTCTGCTGCAACCTTTGTACATGAGAAGATGGTTACTCCACTGAAGTCCTGAGGGAGTCCCTTTTTTGGCTTCAAAATTTGTACCCAGTCCTTGTCCTGAGATCAGGGAGATCCTCATGTTTCCTTCTAATTTTATTAGAAAAAACTAACTCTGAAACACTTTTTTGGCAGGTTAGATACTCCAGCATTACAGTACATCAAAACCTGCAAATGTCCTTTGTTAAAAGGTTGATGAACCTCAGTAGATACTTTCATGCATGCTATCAACTTTTACAGGCCTATTTTGCAGTCAGGACTCAGTACAGCTTTGCTATTAAAAATGCTTTTTAGGTTTCAAGCTTCTGCTGGTTTTGTAGCTACTAGTGAGCTCTCTTTTGTAGCTACAAGTGAGGTCTCCCAGAAGATTTTTCTCCATGTTTTCTCTCGTTTTCAAACAACAGCCCCCCAGCCTCCTCAGACTTGAGTAACGTCACATTTAAAATACAAAATTTTAAATTTCACTCAACATCATGGTGCCTGATGTTTGTTTATGAGCTCCATGCTATGTTCTTGTAACAAGTCCTTTTCTTTGAGCCCAGTCCTACCCTCTAAAATCTAGCAATGCTCATAGTGCTTCTTGTTTCCCTTATTTATTAACCTCATCCCCAACCTCTGCTTCAACAAATGGAGAAAACCAATTATTTCCCATGTTCTCACACCAGCCGCTATACTGTGAAGCAGAAGACACTGAAGTTGGACAAAATGATAGCAGAATTTGCAAAGGTCTTTCTGCGTCTGTTTTCTAGCTGACAGTAACCAGAAAGTCTGTAGTAAAACCATCTAATCATCGTTTTGTCAACGTTGTCTCTTTTCTGTCTGCCTTCCCCGTCATATTTGTAGTGTAACATTTACTAAAGACAACAAGAACTTATTGAGGCCAATCTTCTGGTTACTGAAGTTGCTGGAAAGCTGATGTAAGGCTGGAAGCTACTGAAGGATACTACAGCACCTGGGTGCTCTTCTGTTACCTCTGGATAACTTTGGCTAGTTTGTTCAGTACTTTATAGAAGGTGGACACAGTTCCGGAGGCTGTGAGCTGTATAGTCAGGGAAAACAGTCTTTGCGTTCCTTGGATGAGGAAATACATCATTGTATTTCCTTGTACGTCCCCTTTGTGTTACAAAGATGATTCTGTTCTTTGGTGGAAGATACTCTTATTTTCGGATTACTTATCCCTGTTTAACCAAAGTGTTTTCCTCCAGGTCTAATAATGCGATAATACATTCAGATGAGCTACATGTCCACTAGAATATGTTAGTAAACTGATGCACAATTTGGGGAAAAAAGCATGAATGCTTCCTTGATGTTTGTGATCAGGGTTCGGATTTGCAGCTAAACAGGTTATTGTGACTGAATACATGACCAAGGCTAAAACGGACTCTATATGTGGGCCACACTTTTAAGTGGGCATTAACAATTTAGTAGAAGATCAGGAAAGAACTACAAGGATTATACAAATTTTTCAAGATATGAAGAAAAACCCCTAACTTGAAACTCTATAACAAGATCCTTAAAAAGTGCAACTTTCTTTAATTTACCCACTTGACAATTGAGTGGCTAAATCATAGTCTTTTCCTGCATGGAAAGAAGATTTCTGCTGCGGGCTGTTTTTTAGCTGATCGAAATAACACATTGCAAGAACTTATTGCTAGGCAAACTCAGAGAAGCAGCAAAATGATTATTTTAGAATCTAAACTATAATTTGTGAAGTTATTAAGGGATGACCCTTTCTGTCATTAAGGGATTTCTCTCAAGGGATTCTTGTAACCTAATTTAGATGTCTAGGAGTGAGCAACTGAAACCTGAGCAAATCTCCTTAGGCTCTTTTGGAGAGACAACAGACACCTTTTGAAAGCTGCTTCATCTTATTGAGCTCCATTATCTGTTTTAGAATGGGTTTCACAGTGTCTCTCAAGGCAAACAGTGTGCTACATGGACAAAGGCACAGGAATATCAATGCCTGAAAATGTACTAACATTCTGATGATTTTTTTTTTTTTTAGATCCTGTGCAAAAATAAACTACGAGAAACTTTGCAACTGATTCATAGTGTTTGAAAAATTTGTTCTGCAGAGTATGCAACACCCAATATTCTATGCAATATACTCTCAATGCTTGTAATTTTTGGAAGTAGGTGGGTTTGGCCAAGTTCAGTAGGAGAAAATCTTTGTATTTAACTGAAAGAAGAGTCAGAAGGATGCTTTGCATATGAAAAGTCCTGGCTGAGTCTGTGCTATCCTACACAAGCATTCCTTCTACATATTTTAGATGAGATAAACCTACATTGCTTGGGTTCCTTTCAAACCTACTGTATGACAATATTGAAATACAAGTTACCCTGGGTACTCTTCCCCAAGTCAGATAAATATTTCAGTCCTCTCCTCCACATCTTCTAGTACACAATGAAAATCATTGTCAGTTTGTCTCTGTACATGTACATTTAAAGGTAATGTGAGTGATTTATTCTGATTGCATGATATGTCGAGATATACAACAGCTGAATGACGACTTGAAAGTTGTGTCAGAGTTTAGATGTGTGTTCCTAGGAGGACTAGCCATTTGAATCCATTCCAAACCCAGACTTTTACTCTCTAATTTCCTTTTGTTGCCCTCTTGCCAGTAGGTTATAGGTCTAGTACTAGAGAAGGTAAATCTACAACGCTAACTGTGCCAGAACAGCAAAGAACAACACATCATCGTTCACGATCTGTATCTCCTCACCGCGGCGACGATCAGGGCAGGACCCGTTCACGTTTACCAAATGTGCCATTACAGAGGTAGGCATCACAAGTTAGTGGGATACTAGGTGGGTTTGAGTTTGTATAATCTGTCATTATTAACTTTCCTCTTCTTCAGCAATTTTTCACAATTTTAAAACTTTTTGGTTTTGCGTCTGAATTTAATAGTGTAGTGTTTGAACTTGATGTATGCTTTTATTAATCATTCAAGAGCACTCATGAGATGAATCGTAACTTTGTAACACTTAACACTTCTTGCTGATGTTTTCTCTGTGATTCATCATCTGTGTACCACACCTAATGCATAGGTTTGGGATTTTGTTTTTTCAGTCAGTGGCTGAATCTTCTGTGAAGTCACTTAAATATATTTGTAATAAACAGTGGCATGTGCAAATTGTGTAACTATTTTTAAAGTAACAGCAAACTGAAATTACCAGTTGTATTTATAACATGACATCTGTAATGGATGAAGTAAAAAAACTCTACAGAATCAGATGGTGATTTATAAACCTTTATTTTTTGCTTTTACTGCTTTTCATAGACAACCTATTAATATTAGAATCCTTTCTGAGCTTATCATTTGTATGCTTTGTGCTTTTTATGAATGGTGCTGTACAGATTGTTTAAGAACAAAACTTGACCCACTTGATTTTGCTTGTTTTATTGTGCAGGGCAATAAGCTTCTCATGCAAGCCCTCATGGAACCCTAAAAATCAGCATATTTACCTGTTTTCCTTTCCTCCAATTTCTGGGAAGCTTTGTTCTGGAATTACTACAGGAGTCTGAAGTGCTGCACTAGCAACATTATTGCCTACTAGCTGTAATATTTTACTGAAAATCCACCCTTCTTGGCTGAAATTTGTTTACAAAATTCTGTGCTGCAGTACTCTCCTTATCCATCATTTCTGTATCTGTTTTTTGGAGTTCCTTCACTGGTCATTTAATACCAGACATGTGTGATGTTTGAAAATGATGGCATATTCTGGAAAAACAGCTTCTCCTCCCAGCTGAAAATCCTGATGGTCTGACTTCTGCCTTTCCATCCTCCATGCCATATACGCTGTTCTCGCGCTTGAAACCATGTGCTTCTTAAGTGCCTGCATGCATCCCCCCTATATTACATGAGTTCTTGCAGATGAAGCTATTTCACTACTCACCAAATTACTTGCTGTTGCGTTTCTCAGTAGTACCTCCTTAACAGGTAGGAGTGTATGGCTGTACATAAAAGACTCTGGCACTGACTTTTTTTTTTCTTCTTGTAGTGGAGATAATAAGAGCTCCTTGTTCTGCTTTGGAAACAATCATATGTGCTCTTGTATCTTTCTATCTACAAGCGGGATGCACAGATGAAATACTTCACAGCCAATTTCACCATCCCTTCTGTTTTATGCTTTGAAAAACTAATGCTTCTTGCTCCGATGGCAGTTATTAAACTAAAGGAAGAATCTGCCCTTCAAGTAGTAGTTTATTTTCTTGGTTTTTTCCATGTGAAGTGATATTTAAGTTACTGTCATGAAGGTCAGAGCCTTCCTACATTTATACAAAATCATTCCTCTTTTGTATAACACTTAGTTGAGACTGATAAAACCTGCTGCAAGTTCCTATATTGTATCCCAGAATTTCTTAAAGAATATTTGGAGATACCTGCAGAAGGTTGGTAGCCCCAAATCAGCTTTTTACAAATGCATCAATCTTAACTTCATGTGAGGTATTATCAGTTCTTATGTTATCTCAGTTATTCTTTAAGTACAGTCTTTGAAAATGCCATTCCTGAATCCATCACTGTACACAGAGACAGGCATGTACTTCTAAATGTGGTAGAAGTGTCTGCTTTCTGTAGTTAGAGGTGGTTTTTCTAATCTTAGGAACCAATATTTTTTTAGAAGTCATATATTAACAATTTCATGATTAAAGGCTTCCTTCAACTAACTTGTAATGTAATCTTTTAAGCTGTGTATTTATCAAAAAACAAGATTATCATACATATTTCTGCCTTGCAGGAGTTTAGATGAAATTCATCAAATGAGAAGATCACGTTCACCAACTAGACACCATGATGCCTCCAGAACTCCAGTTGATTACAGATCCAGAGACATGGATAGTCAGTATTTGTCTGATCAAGAAAGGTACATCGTCAGCCTGAACTTGGAAACACATTTAGAAATGTCTTTGTTGGTTTGCCTAATTTTCAACTATTCAGTAGAAATACAACTAATGGTAATGGGGAAGGGAGTGAAGTCATCCTAACTGACGAATCTAGTGCCATGGTTAAATTCTCTATGCCTCTTTTTTGTAAAACTGTCTGGGTTGACAGTAATAGTAGGTTATCAGTAGTAGACTAACAGTCCCTGGGTGTTTGTCCTAGAGTATTTTGCTGTTTGTTTCATGAATGAAGGCCAGAGATTTTGGATAGAAACCCATAAATCTATATGTATGCTCTAGTTATAGAAGCTTCTGTAACTCAGAATTTTTCTGTTTTGGTAGCCAGCAAAATACCAGGCATGACTTCCTACTAGTTGGGAGTTGCATATACTGTGATTTGCATTCCTGTGCTTAATAGATTTCGGACATCTATGTGTGCAGTCTCATAGCATCTTATGCAACATTCTGGTGAACTTGGTAGAGTACCCAAGCATAGCAAGGACAGTTGTGCTTGTAATTAGCAAAAATCTCCAGTCTCAGATGCATGACACATACACATCTCTCCCTGCAATACACTCCTCAGAGGATGTTTGGTCTCTCTTAGCCATTGTTTTCAGCTACCTAGGAATATCTTCTAATAAAACGGAAGAAAACAAGAATATGTTTATTTTATAGCTGAAAAAAAATGTAAAAAGTTATTTCAGTTCAGTATTTAGGAAACATAAAGATGACAGTCACATAGATTATCAGTGTTGGTGGGTTGTTTGTTTACTTTTAAACAAATCATTCACCTAAACTGTAATGGCAAACTTCTACCATTCATATAAGATCAATTGTCCTATTAATGTCTTTGGAATTTTTTTTTTTGCAGTAAGTTTTTATTTTTTATAGGTAAGGATGATAAGACCTTTCCAAATGATCCAGAAAATGAAATACAAAACATATATTTCATAGTGATGTGAAAATGTGTAAGGAATAAACCATAAAAATCTCTGGAACTTTTTGTCCAGTGTTGAAGCAGCATAGAAATTGAGTAACAGATGGTTTTGCTGTTAAACTAGTTCTGTTTTGTATATGATCTTGCCTGGTTTGATTTTTAATGTGGTAACATACATATAGGAATTAATGAGCTATTTGGAACATTTTAAAATTGCGCCTTGGAGGCAAGAAGTATGTACAGAATTGTCTAAGTTGGATTGTTGTACTGAATTTGCTTTCAAAGTGAAAGTGAATGAAACGTTTTAAATGTAGAAGTCAGATTTATAGATAACCTAATTCAAGTAGTTTCCACTTATTGCAAATGTTTCATGATATTATTTTAATAAGTAGTGATATATTCAAAAGATTCCTGAAAATATTTATTGAATAGATTTCTTATTCGGCAGATCTGGAGAGAGACATTAAAAAATAGCTTTTTATTAGTTATAGTTATTAGTTATACATATAGACAGTTAACTGTCTAGAAAACTTTCTTCCAGGAAAGCCTCAAACCATTATGTAAATTATGGTATATGTGTGGATTTTGCATTGAGGTTTGCTTGGAGATGGGCCATCAGGCCACAGCAGCAATGGACTGCTGGATTTGTTCAGGGGAGTAAGACACATACTTCAGTTCTTTTCAAAATTCAGAAAATTCTTTTCAGAAATTAAAGATCAGACATGAAGGATGTACATGGCTTATTTGCAGAACTTAAAGATGAGTCCATGTATTTACTCTGCTTGAGTAATAAGCTTGCCTGCAGTGGTTTTTTTCCTATTTTCCTTTTCGTCTTTCCTCCAGATTCCTTCAGTTGTGGAGCCTGTTTAACTCTTGCAGGTTTCACTGTCTTTCAAATATGTAAGAGCAGCATCACAGGGAAGATCAAACCCAGCTTTTGTTGAGGAAAATTCTCTATCACATCGAAGGATTTTAAAAAATCTTTATTCAGTATTATGTATTAGTATCAATGATAGCATAAATATTATGTGTTGTTCATTTACTGAACCCTTCATCTAAGTACATTCATAACATACCTAACATAAACTTGGTTTGAAAGGTGAATAATTACCTAGTGGTTACAGAAATTTCAGTTGCTGATTATAATTTTCTCAAGGTTCTGTTATTGGTCCCAAATTAATATTGAATATTCTGGATAGATCTTAGTAAAAACAGATCTTTTGTACAACTAGATACTCTGGCTTAGCAAAGGTAGAGTAAATATTAACAAAGTGTCTTATGATTTAATCTGGACTTTGCATCTACTTCAAAACTCTTAAGAACATGGCAACTTTTTTCTTGAAATACATATTTATTTTTAATTTGGAAACTGTTTTTCTGGAAACTGTCTAAATTCTGTTAGTCCTCTACCTTATGAATAGAAATTTTGCTTAAAAAAAACACAAACAATTCCATTTGCCATTAATAAATTTTGTGGCATCAAAATCAGACTAGTGGTTCCAGATGCAAAGTTAAATCTCACAAGCCATTATTTCAGCTGCCAAGTTTAGAATTTAGCTAAATACTACCTATACTGCACCAAATAAATGGGTCATTTCATAATGGCGTGAAGCACAAGATACATTGAATAATTGCTGCTTTATCTATTTTGTAATCTTTTCTCTCTTTGTCGCCATAGTACTTCATATGATTCCCTGCTTCTTTTAAAATAGCATGTTTCCATGAAGTTTAGCTTTAATTTCATATTTATGGTAATAAGGAGGTTTGGAGCTTGGTCCTTCTGATTGCGTTGAAGTGCTTAAACTATATTTCAAGGGATATTTCATATCACAGCGTCATGGTTTAACCTCGGCTAGCAAAGTATCACAAAACCGCTCTCATATTTACCATAGGCATAAATATGAATTAATTTTACCATCTTGCCAACTGTAGTGTGTGTTTGGTTAGAGCTAATGAAAAACAGAATAGTTGGCTCATTTTCTTAATTGGAAACAACAAGAAACAAAAAGTCTAATTGCTGATTAGCAATTTTTTTTTTGTTTCTTTAGGATTGCATTACAAAATACTGTCAAGAGCTGTGAGTCAGAGTCTATATTTGTCCAAACGTAGTATTTCCAGTGAACATATATTTTAGTTTTTCCTGAAAGGGTGACTGATTACTCTTCCCATAAACTTATTTGTAGTAAATTGAAAGCAAATCCTCCCTGCTTTTTCATGTATGTTTTTGTGACTTGGGAATAAAAAAAAACCAAACAAACATATTTCTTTTTTTATAAAGTAGTTTTTCATTAATTAGTTCATAAGAGAGGAGGTTATTAGAGAAGCGTAACTGGTTTATGGATACCTTTTGTTATGAAGAGCTCTGAAACAGTACGTCTGAATTTTAAAAATTCCACGACATTATGCGCCATGCTAAATGGATTTTGTTGAAAATGTAGTTACCATAGGTATTTTTTGACTCATATTCTTTGAGAAGTGCAGTCTGGGTTTCAATATTATCAGAGTATCTGGGTGGAAGCTTCTTGTTTCAATTTATGTTTTCATTTGCATATCATTGGCATAACCCATGTCATCTAATGCTTCATAGTTATATCTGTTTCACTCACCACCCATCCTGTCTGTGCAGTGAGCTTCTTATGCTGCCCAGAGCAAAGCGAGGAAGAAGTGCAGAGTGCCTACATACCATCAGGTAAATACAGGAATTCGGTAAATGTGAACGCATCTGGTTAGTTGTCTATACTCTGTGTGCCCGACTTTTTCCCATGGCGCTATTTAGTCCCAGTCAGTAAAGAACTTCCCAGTACGTTGTGATCCAGGTGTGAGTTGCTCCTTTTTGTTCGTTTTAATTCAGATTGAGATTGTATGTGTGTTTGTGAACTTCAGAATTAAAGTAGTTCTGATTTTGCAGTTCTATTTTGTGGTAGATTTTCTGTCTAGTCACAGAAGTCCTGCTCTCCCAATGCATGACAGTGTTCTTATAATTTCAAACATTCCTTTGTAGTTGTTTTTATATTTTCCTTTATTTGCATTTTTATGTTTATATTACAATCACTCACAAGTCAACAGGCTTTACTTATAAGCCCTAATCTCATGATGACTTGGGTCACTTGTAGAGGAAAGAACAGTGATAAATCGGGACTCACTGGGAACCCCAGATTTGAGGGGTGTCTCATATGACTTGTTTTTTCATCAACGAACTGGGCTGTGAGTTTGATCCAGGCATAAACTTTGTAGCTTGGACTCATCTTCAGTCTTCATTAATTTCTCAGCTCTTACTGAGTTTAAATCAATGTCTCAACTCTCCCCAATGCTGTGAAACTAAACGGGACTGAAATATCTTTATCTAAGAAATCTAACTCTCCCCCCATGCCCCTTGCTAAGAGTTTTACATCAGTGCTATATGCCCTGGATTGCTTTCATTCTCTTCATTGAATTTTAAACAGCATAGAAGATGTTGTTATAGGATTCTGTTACAAGGCACAATAATATAAAGGTAAAATAATAATAAAAATGAAAACTTAAAAAAAAAAAATCTGTGCATCAGTGCAGCTGTTAAATTAAAATTTGTTTTCATTATGAGTAGAAAGAGTTTCATTCTCATATTTCAACTAAAAATATTTTTCCTCAACATTTTAGGTTTTAGAGATTAATAATTTATTTAACTTCCTGTTATTTTATGTCAGCTTATTGTCATGTAATAGCATTTTTTCTGCCTCCTTCCTATGGCCTTTGTCTTTTTGCTGCATCTTATATAGCTTCACCCCCCTCCTCGCACCCAGCTCTATGCTTTTTCTTTTCCCTCAGGGAGGTTTAGATTAGATATCAGGAAGAAATTCTTCACAGAGAGGATGGTGAGGCACTGGAACAGGTTGCCCAGAGAAGCTGTGGATGCCCCATCCCTGGAAGTGTTCAAGGCCAGGCTGGATGAGGCTTTGAGCAACCTGGTCTAGTGGAAGGTGTCCCTGCCCATGGCAGGGGGGTTGGAACTAGATGGTCTTTAAGGTCCCTTCCAACCCAAACCATTCTATGATTCTATGATTCTATGATTATGGTTTTCATTAGAATTCTTCAATGAAAATACTTAAATTTTCACTTAATTAACAAAGAAAATACTGTATTATGAGCTTTTTATGCAATTTGCCCAGCCACTATATATTTCCAATAGTTTTATAAATGTACTCTCCAGTCTGGCCAGTTAACCAGCTGAAAATTGTGCATGGACAGCAATAGAGTTAGGTAAGAGCTAGACTGAATTCAGAGATACAACCCTTTCTTGCATTTTTCTTTATTTAAATTATTGCTGTTAACTTTTTTATGATCAAAGTAACATATCCACCTCTTTAAATTAACAGTAATGGTCTACTAAAAACCAGCATGGCACTTTTAGTAATGTACTGAAAGTGAATATAAGGGCAATAGAAGATAATAGCGTAGGTTTTTAAAATTTAACTCTGAGGCTTATATGGCCTAATCCAAGTTTGAATAATACCCAGAAAATTGCCAATATCCATCTTTGACTGAATAATCTCAAGAAAACTTACCACAAGAATTTGGTCTGTGCATTGGTTGCCAACTTTTATTCTTTCACATTTGTTGTGGCCTGGAATTTATTCATGTTAGAAACATTATAAGGCTTTATCCTTTTTTTTCTAGACAGCTTGCTGAGTAATGTTTTAATTAATTGTTGAGATAGCTTCGTTTTAAAATGGGAAAGAAATGTCAAGGGTTTCATGTTAAATGACAGAAATATCAATGAGATGGTCCAAGCTACAAAGTTAAGTTATATGGTTAATTTAATACACCAGTTTAGAATAATAATCGTCCTAGCTGGCCACCCTGTCCATTTGTATGCAGCTATTGACTAATAGCAAAAATGGTGGAAGGGGGTTTACCTATGCCATAGGCCAATGGGTGGTCATACTCCATGTCTTTGGTCACACCCACTGTGATTGGTAATATCTGGTAGTATGCCAGGATTGACATGATGGACCACCATTCCTTTGTTCCAACATCGCCATGTCACGGTGACCTCTGGTAGAGTGATGACCACTAAGCCTATAAAAGTAGGGTCAAAGCTACTCTGTTAAATCCCTCAGGGATTTACAAATGCGACGGTTTCCAGGCAGAGTTGTTTGATCTGTCAGTGACATGGCCAGGTTTACAATGCTGATCTGTGGTGCCTAGGTCCAAGCCTTAATAGGAATCAGAATGTCCTACTGGGACAGACTGTTCTTGAAGCTTCAAAATCTGCAAGGCTGCTGGTCCTTCTGCTAATAGCGCTACAGTTATGTCCTCATAGGCTTTGTGTAAAATTGTTAGAACTTGGTTATTAACCCTTACCCATGAAATTCCATGATTCCCATTCAGCAGCCACTGTCTGCCTTTAAATTTCTCCCTTGTTCATTGAGGAAAGCTGGATAATAAAGCAAACATTTCCTGTTTGCTTTAAAATCTTGTGTACTGTAAGTGATGGTATTAGTCAGTTGTCACATAGCATCTAAGAGAGCTGTTGTGCTGCCTGATGTAGTACATCTTCTAGGGGTTTTTTAATTAGCTCATTGTTAATAGCATTTAATTGCTGTTAGATTATGAAGCCGATATGCCGCTTCAGAAAGACTTCCATATTCAAAAATGCCAGATGCTAATATGTCTATAATTGTTTGTGATAATATATATCACTGTCTTATCTAGCTTTTCATGCTTAGCTACTGAAGAGGTTAAAGTCTTTCAAGGTCTAAATAAGGCATTACTGAGAGAAATAAAATCTAATAACAACCCAATTCTTTACAACAGCTTGTATCTTTTAATTAAAAATCTCTAAAAATGAATTTAGATTACTTTTGTTACAAGAAAAAAAATCTGAGCGGTACTAGTATTGTCATGTGTTCATGGACTGCATTAACAAAAGTGTAAATACAAAAATCTGGCCCCTTGATAGCTGTCACAGTAGTTGAGTTGAGAAAAACACATACTGAGAAATCTACACATACAGTTATTAAATGTAGTAGCATATTATGCACTTACTTTATGTTCTGGTCAGTGTTGCCTTACCTATACTTGTCTCTTTATTTCTGGCACGTTTTTGTGTTGTTCTGTTTTCTTTTCTGTTCCATCACATTCAAGAAGTTCTGTTAGGCACTATAAAACATTACCACCCAAGATGCCTTTACTAGAAAATGGTACTCATTGGAATCTCTACAGGTAAGAAGTGTTTAGAGTCCACTTTAAGTAGCTAGTTCCTTTTCAAAAACTAAATAGTCTTGCCCTGTTAAATAAGAAAAAAAAAATCCATACAATTCTTATAACTGAGAGATAAGAGATATAATCCTAAAATAACTTCATATAACTGTCTAAATTAACACCTACATTACAAAAAAAAAAAAATAAAATACAAGAACCACTTTGTATTAGGTAGTTTTCTTCACCATTAAAATTTTATGTTGCATGTTTTTCTTTGTTACATTCTTTTCTTTATGTGTATGGTTTTGGTTACATGTCAAATTTATTTTCATTTTGCTTAAATAATTTCAATTTACAAAGCTCGACTCTTCCTGCATGTGCTAAGACCAAATCAGTGATTAGACAGGATATTTCACTTCTTCGTGATTGCCTTAATTCACGAATACCGAAATTTGGAGATGATCTACTGGTTAGGTAAGAAACTGAGGATCAATTTCCCCCTCCTGTTTGGTATCTCATATGGATTTGCAATACAAATGAGCTTCACTGTAGAGTGATTTCACTTAATATGTAGTGTATCACATCATTTTATGTTGACCTAAGATTTACTACTGTTAATAAGGATTTAAATTTATTGTTTGGTATTTCACATTCCACTTTCTTACAAGTGGATGTTGTTCTGTCTCATTCAGTTTTAAACATTTCAACTATCTTAGAAAAAGAAATTCTAGCTGTCTTTTGTTTGCTTTTATTTTCTAAACAAATCTTGGCACTGTCATCCAGTCAGCTTTTTTACGTTTTCCTTAATTAAATCATTGTGATTCTACATTTTCTGTAAAGAGAGCATTATTTTATGAGTTAATATCTAACATTGTATTCCTTTCTTTGTTTTCTTTTTCTTTCTCTTCTACCATTGGATGCAATGCACTGGCACTAGTGAACTACAGCCCTCCCTTGACAGGGCTAGGAGTGCTAGTACCAACTGCTTGAGACCAGATACTAGTTTGCATTCACCAGAACGAGAAAGGTATAAAATAAAAACTTATGAATTTCTTGTCATCTGTGCTGGTGATCTTTATCAGTTTTGTTTTTCTTCATATGGGTATTCTACATTCTCGTCCATTCATGTCTGCTTTGGTATTTGTAGACATTTTTGTTCCCCTATTCATATATGTCATGTAAATTGTGTGTTGGAGTTTGTAACCGCTTCTGGCTCCTTTCCGTGTTTTGGTTCAAGCTGATGTCATTGTTTACAAAAGTCCTCAGTATGCTGATAATAGCATTGCAGTGTTAACTATTTTGACAAAGTGCCACTTGGTTGTTAATCTTCATCATCATTTGCTAAAAAGTATTCCGTCTGTTTCTTGCCTGTTCGGTGGACTGCTAATAAGGCGGTGACATCATTTATAAATTCTATGACACAATTCTCATATTTCAAACCAGGACTGTAGTTTATATCATGATGTATTTTCTACAAAACAGCCAAACTTCTCATCTGCTTTTGCAATTCCAAGGCAAATCACTGCGTTAAGCTTTTTTTCACTCTGTGACATTATATTAAGGCTCACATAAGTCTTAAGAAGACATGTTTGCAATTCAAATGAAATATTGTTGTGTCACAATCATTGTGCAGGAATTTTATAGATGCTTTTTGAATTTTTAATATTGCAACATCTTGTTTAAAAATATTAGGTGAACCAAATACTATGAGTGTGTTTCACAGATGGGATTGTTCCACAAGGGAATTTTTCATCACCACCTGGGTTTTTGGCTGAGAACTAAGTCATTTTAGACTGAGATTTTAGCTTCGCTAAAGGCAGTAACAGGCTTCCATTGAGAGGGAATATGGTGGCATTATAATTTCATCTGTGCAAGACTTATTTTAGTGGTGTGGCAGTTAATACTAAGTTGTTTTGTCAGTCAGCCCACAGCGTGGTTATTAAAATAGTTGCATCTCTTTCATTATCGTGGGAGAAGACCTGCGAAGAAAGGCAGTAAGAATGTACTGCTAAGGTTTCTCTTGGCGGGTGGGTTGCCCCTTTCCCTTCTCCCCAATTCCCATTTCTCCTTGACTGGACGTTCCTTCTCAAGTTGTGCCCTTGTTGTAGAGGAGTGACTAATGTTTTGCTGAGATGTTTCAGACAGATCTACAATAGTTAATTAATTTTCCAGGTCAAGCGCAAGATATCATAGACAAAACATATATGGTTATCCAAAATTAATATGACAGAAATAAGGCCACTCAGAATGAAATACAGATGCCATTCTAGATGTTTAAGAAAAATTGTTGTAACATTATATTAATAACTAAGTGTGTAGATATATATACCTCTGTATTTACCTGTAAGCAGCTATTTAATGCAATAACATGTGGACAGAAGCAGTAGGTGTTTTGTACTTTTCTTTCAAAATGCCACCCATCAAGTTAAGTATTCAGTGAAACGGACGCTGGCAATTGTAAACTTCCTAGTTACAAAACTATACTCAAAACTAAACCTGTCACTGATATTAACTAGGTCTGTTACGGCTTTATAAATCATCTTCAGCAACCTCTCTCCAGCAGGCACTGAACAGAGTCTGCAGCATTTTTCACGAGCCTCCTCATAAAGAGAAGTGTTTAGCCTGTATTAATGGTCTCTGCTAAACACGAGGTTTTGCCAAATCATCTCTGGGCCTTATCCAGAAAAATTGTCCATCATAGAATCATAGAATGGTTAGGGTTGGAAGGGACCTTAAAGATCATCTAGTTCCAACCCCCCTGCCATGGGCAGGGACACCTTCCACTAGACCAGGTTGCTCAAAGCCTCATCCAGCCTGGCCTTGAAGACATCCAGGGATGGGGCATCCACAGCTTCTCTGGGCAACCTGTTCCAGTGCCTCACCACCCTCTCTGGGAAGAACTTCTTCCTGACATCCAATCTAAACCTCCCTGATTTCAATTACCCATTACCCCTTGTCCTATCACTACAGGCTCTTGTAAAAAGTCCTCTCCCAGTACCCTTGTAGGCCCCCTTCAGATACTGGAAAGCTGCAATGAGGTCTCCTCGGAGCCTCCTCTTCTCCAGGCTGAACAAGCCCAGTTCTCGCAGCCTTTCGTCATAGGAGAGGTGCTCCAGCCCTCTGAGCATCTTCGTGCCCTCCTCTGGACTCGCTCCAAGTGGTCAATATCCTTCTGATGTTGAGGGCTCCACAGCTGGACGTAGCACTCCAGGTGGGGTCTCAGCAGAGCAGAGTAGAGGGGCAGAATCCCCTCCCTCGACCTGCTGGCCACACTTCTCGGGATACAGCCCAGGATACGGTTGGCTTTCTGGGCTGCCATCATTACGATACTTTTGGTATCTTTGCTTTTAGAAGATCTAAATAATGATGAAATCGATGCTTTGGGTTTGGGGTCCTTCATCGGGGTGTGGAAAAGCTCCTTTTTACTAAAATATAGTTCAAAATTTTCATTATGGTTTTGTTACAAATTGAAAGATCCGTGTGGTTCTTTCAGAGGATTAATGGCATGCACTTTATTTTTCTTCAGGCATAGATGTGTTTCCAATGCAGCCCAATCTTTGGAGGAATATGTTATATTTAATGCATAAGAAACACCAAATTAATCTTTTGGTTTTGGGGAGGCTAATTTTAGAAGATTTTATTCTCCACTGTTGAATGTACCTGCTTACACTGTAGTGTGAGGTTAGTGATCTGTTGTGTGTAATGATAGAGGATTTTTTAGTTGGAAGAACACAGAATTAAGTTCAAGGTATGTAGAAAGCATCTTGTATATATGTGGACGAGAATAAGTGACTGAAAGTAAGACAGGTTAATCCTGAATAGCAGGAAAGCTTTTTTGAAGGCTAGAATAATGAAACACTGTAATAGATGATATGGAAAAGGTCATATGGACTTTGTTATTGGAGATTAAACAGACACCTGTCAGGTGTAGTTGGTCCTGCTTGTAGCGAAAAGAAACACTACATGGTTTTGTGAAGTCCCATCTGTACAGCACCGCTTCATGACCATTCTATTTCAGTGACCAGTGTTGAAGGTATTGTTAGTTGCTGCCAAGGTGTTTCCTTACCATTCTCCACTTCCCCCCCCTCAATGGAATTGTATATTTTATTTACAAATTTAGGCTTTTAGTCCTCAAATTACAAAGATAGACTTCTAAATGTGACGTGTATTTTCTTCGACAAAGTTAAGATTATGCTTACCTATGGAAAATTCTTTCTACTCATTCCCTCCAACTTTTGTCTCAGAGGGTATAAATTAGATTGTGTTTGGAATCAGGAGTTAAAATGGTCCACTTGACCTTTTTTAACAAAATGGTATTGCCCTTGTGTAACTGATAGACAGTAGAGCCCTTATTCCATGTTAATGATTTATTGGAAATAGTTTTAAACTCTGTATAACATCATTCTTGTAATTTGGAATTGTTTTTTATAGGTGCTATTTTGCCAGTAAAACCCATTGTGTTGACCCACATGCACCAGCAGAAAAATACTTTCAGCAGTATATATGGTTTTGGGATATATGTCTTGTTAGATGCACTAAAGCAAAACCAAAACAAGACATTTCCTTTCCTTCTGCTATAAGCCGCATCATTTGCATGAGAAAAGTCCATATAACTTGACTGGCAGCTGACCTTGCCCTGACACAGGCCTGCCAAAGCTTTTGGGTAAATGGACTAATTTGGAACATAATCCTGCATATATTTGCTTTTGGCACATTATGCACTAGGATACTCAAAATTATCTAGCCCCTACTAATATATCTATACAGTTGCACCATTCCTGCCTGGTTTTTTTCCCCTCTCTTCCCCCCTGCCCCTATTTATTCCTAGCTGTTTAAAATTATTATCTTGTCGAAGTTTTGTGATGATTTGTAAGATGTGTTAGTTTACAATACAGTCATAAATACCCTATAAATACCATTAATACAATTAAAAATGTTTTTTTGGGTTTTTTTGCTGTCACTACATCCTTTAGTATGATTTTTTGATTGTCTTTTCACCGTGACTCAGAATTTCAGGTTTAGTTTTTTTTTTTCCTTGTAAGTCGGTTACCATTTCCTTAGAACGAAGAAAACTGTGTGTGACTCCCAGCCTTAAGTCAGGAAGGCACGTTAGTAATAACTAATGTGGCTTTTCATTCACCTTCTAAGTTTCTTGTGTTGCAAGGAGTTGTTGTGTCTATCAACAGTTAGCACAAGAAGAGTTGTGCGGATTGGTACTGCTTGTATGCTTTGTCCTGAGAGGTTAGCGGAGATGTGAGCAGGTAAAACCGAGGAGCACAGCCCAGGGACTAGTTCTTGTCCAACAGGGTCTGTGCATCTGCAAAATGCATCCCAGCAGCTGTGTTAGATTTGTTCTGAGGTGCTTTGCTGCAGTAGGAATCACAACTTTTCAAGGATCTTCAGGTTGTTTGCTGTCAGCTGGTCATTATCTCCTAAACAAGATACGAAGCTGGGCAGTTACCTGTTACCTACTCACGAATAGATAACAGAAATTGGAGCTGTCACTTGATCCAATTAAGACCTGTCCTGATTTCATGTTGCTTTTTATAAGATTTTTTAATAAGTCTGAAGATTTGGGTGTTTATATTGCATGCCTTTAACAGTTACGTTGAATATCACCATTTACATTTAAAATAATATACAATAAATAACTGTTTGCATTCGGTATGCAGCCTATTGTGTTTCGAGTTCTTTCCAACCATGTAAAGGAATATGTTACTGCATGTTTGTCTTATACTGTGGCTCATGGTCATTCAAAATTCAGTGAAAGAGAGCATGTTTCAGAGTTCATACTGCATGACCTAGTTAATTCTATCAAATGCTGTTTAATATTTGTAGTGGATATCAGCATATTAAGGGCTTTGACTGAGTGCACTGATGCATTAACATTTTTGTTAACTCTTGCTTTGGAGAGAAAAGGAAACTAACTACTAACAACCTATTTCCTCTTGAAACTTTGGAAAGATCTTCCTAACTTGTTCAAGTGATTCTAATCTCCTTGAAACCTTTGTTATTTGCATGTTCCATAAATCAAACCCTTTTCCTTATAACATGGACTGGAAGGATGCCTCAGAAAGTGAAATATTAGGTAGTCGTGCAGAGTTTGTGAATATTTTTCTGTTTGTAAATTAATCAGTATATTTTGATTTTGTAAATTGTTATGAATACACTTGTGATATTACAACCACCTAACATCCCAACAAAATAAACAACACCAGTCTATATATATGTATATGGTTCTAAATTAAACAAGCTTTTTAAAAACAAACAAACAACAACAACAAAAAGGCCCCCCCCCCAAACCCCAAAACATCTAAGACACAAGTTTACATTCACAATTTGGGTCCTTTTTGTAAAGCTTAATTATATAAGATAATCTGCTGGCATGTACTGCAGGGATACAGAGAAATGAATAGGACAGCTGACTGCACACACTTTAAACATATATATAATGAAAAAAAAATTACCCCAGTACTTGTACACAAATGCACATAGCTTAGCTGTAGCTAATTAATTTAGCTTAATTCTCTCATTGCATTCCAGAAAAGGGTCACTTTATGCCTTAGAATTTTTCTTATAATTCATGGTCCTATGTTTTTACAGAGAATGCATTTTTCAATGCAAAGAGCTAGGAGAGATGGGCTTAACAAAATATCAGCCAGTAGGTGACAGAAAATGACCGTCACATGGCCTTTTAAAAGCTCTTCTGGTTTGGAATTGCTATTCTCTATGCGAATTACAGGTTGTTGGATAGTCTAGCATTTGAGAATATTTAAAAACTTAATGGTACACTATGTAAAAAATTTACATTGGTCTAAATTCTGCACCTTTCGGTATACATTCTCTTTGTTTTAGCTGTAATGTTTCTACAGTAAGCAGCCATAAGAATAGTATATTTGGGAATTAGAAAACTGCTAGAAAAACATAATTAAATGTCACACTTTCATTACTTTTTGGGGTATTTTTCCAGTCCCAAATCCCATATACTTAATTTTATCACAAACTAAATATCCTATTTTCTTCCTGTTTTATTGAACGGGCAAACAGGGGTAGATGGTCCCCCTCCATAGAGAGGAGACGACCTACTAGTCCCAGGATTCATATCCAGCATGCATCTCCGGAGGATGACAGGTACTAGTCAACTCCTCCCAGTTGAAAAGTGGCTTACTGCATCTTGCACTCTCAGAGGAATATACTGAAATTTATAAGTATGCATATATGTAGAGAGAGACACAACCTCCAGAAGCCCAAAATAAAACAGCAGCTGAGATATCATCTCTGCATTTTGTTGACCTGTTATAAAGCACCAAGGAATTAATGTCTTTTCAACTTTTGTTTGCCTCAAAACAAAGGTCACAAGCCATGTTTGTTTGGTCACAAGCCATGAAATAAGATGTCTAATACAACAGAACATCAGCTGTGTTAATGTTCTTTAGTCTGTTTTTACCTGCTTCTGTAAATGTTGGTGGAGTTTTCACTGTGGTGCTTTATAATATGATAAATATTTGTTGTAGAGCCTGTTCTTGTTTAGATTTTTATTTTTATTGGGGTTTTTTCCATTTTTTAACGAACTATCCCTAAGGGGATAAAAAACACCAGAAACTGATATGTTGTAAGTCTTGGTAACACTTGCTTGTTGATGTATGTAAAAATTGGCACTGTTCAGAAATTCTGTCCTAAATCAGGATGGTCTCCATGGAGCAGGTTTTCCTAAAAAGGTAGGTTTTGTCTGAAAACACTAGTGCTTTAAATAATTTCTTATGCTGAATACCATAATCTGTGAGTAATAGAAGAACCTTTGTTTTTTTCTTGTCAGGGATTTTCTACTCTGATCAGTCTTGGTATTTTTTTTTCCAGGTAGATCTTGCGGGCGGGTGGTGGTGGGAGTTAAGTAGACATTATAATGTCTATTGAGATGCAAATTAGAAATTTTCCCTTCATTTGTTTCTTTTACAGTAAATGACAGGATACAGATGATTCATGTAGATAATCCATACTTGTTTAATCTCGTACAAATTTGCACTTCAAACAGTAAGGCTAGTATATGGATAAAACTCTGTTACTCTAGTGCTAGGGCTTACCTTCTGCTAAAGTCTACCCACAATATTATAATTGTATTATAATTTTTCATGTTTGCTTGATAGTGGATGCATTCCACTAATACAAGTGGGGAGAGCGTAATTCTGTTTGGATAGCATTTCGGGTTTTATTTGACTAAAGTAGCATTACAAATTTTAAAATTAAATTTGTGAAATATTATTACAAAATTGTCCCTGCTTCCAGATACTGTATTTCTAGAAATTTTGCCAGCACATCCCTTTGATGGGACAACTATTAATAGTTTAGAAATGTACTTTGTATCTTTTAGGCATTTTAATGTAATTTCACTTCCCATTTTTCAAATCAATGGAAAGAATGTCTGACTTCAGTGGATCAGACCTGAGAAAGTCTGTCATTGAAGTGATTAGAATTTAATCATACTCATATTACATGTCAGTGAAATGATGTTTTCATCTAAATAATGCCATCTTTAATGCAGAATTTTAATCTTTTTCATGTCAGCCAAAGTTTTGTGGAGAAAGACTGAAATCAATTAAGTCCTATTAGGAAACAAAATCATAGAATCTTAGAATCACAGAATGGTTTGGGTTGGAAGGGACCTTAAAGACCATCTAGTTCCAACCCCCCTGCCATGGGCAGGGACACCTTGCACTAGACCAGGTTGCTCAAAGCCTCATCCAGCCTGGCCTTGAACACTTCCAGGGATGGGGTATCCACAGCTTCTCTGGGCAACCTGTTCCAGTGCCTCTCCCCCCTCTCCGGGAAGAATTTCTTCCTGATACCTAATCTAAACCTCCCCACTTTCAATTTAAACCCGTTACCCCTTGTCCTGTCACTACAGGCCCTTGTAAAAAGTCCCCCCCCAGCTTCCTTGTAGCCCCTTCAGGTACTGGAAGGTGCTATAAGGTCTCCCCGGAGCTTTCTCTTCTCCAGGCTGAACAAGCCCAACTCTCTCAGTCTGTCCCCATAGCAGAGGTGCTCCAGCCCTCTGAGCATCTTCGTGGCCTCCTCTGGACTTGCTCCAACCGTTCTATATCCTTCTTGTAATACAGTAAAGCATCCATAGGATATGGAGCCTATTATGGGAAAGATTTTGAGTTGGAGAAACAATTGTCTAATTTTCTTATTTTAATCAGTGCCTTCTTGTGCTTGGAAGTCTTGCAGGTAATCTGGTCACCAAATCCCTATGATGCAGTCAGTGATGAATCTAGGAGGAGCTTGGGCTAACCCCAGTCCTGATGGCTGGTTGCAGCCTCCCAGCTCCAGTCACTTCTCCAGAAGTTTGGAGAATGTTTGGCTCTTTGCATTGCATGCCCAATACAAAACAATAGCCCACCACGTGCGTACAGACAGCATCAGTGAGGGAATTGCATGTCCCTTACCTTTGTTTTCTACTCTTTAACTTTACATGTATTCCGATTATTTCCCATAGCTTTGGCAGTTGGCCAACTCCACTTTGTTCTATAATTTATGTTTTTTTTAAGATGGGCTTGTCTCAGTTTGGCAACTGATGCAGTGGGTGTTGGGTAATGAGTGATGGATCAGCAGGGTTAACTAACTAGCTGTTTATCACCACTTTCAAATCGTATTTTCAGAGTAATTGACTTTGACAGTTGTCATCTTACTCTTCATTTGAGTACACTCCAGATTTATCTTACAAATTGGCACAATTTGCATATAGGGTGCAACCAAGAAGATCTATTTCTGAATACGTTTTTTACACATATGACATACATTATTTCTAATTTTGGTCATTTAAATTCAGTTCTTGTCACATTGTGTTTATTGATAACGATCCATAACATACATTTTAGTAAAGGTCTTGGCAAGATTGTTGTTATTCTGGAATTTGTTCACTTGCCATATCAGAAAAGGTGACTCCTTGACTTACCTTGACAAAACGAAGACATGGGTTATATGCTATTTCAGTGTTAAGAATGAAAAGTATTTGGTTAATATCATGTATTTCTTTAAGACATTTTAAAGCATAGGTTTTTGTTTTAATTTCATAGCATCGTTGCTGGGGGGAGTTGATCTTATATTAGAAATGAGAATTAGAATGTCTCTAAAGTGAAAGACTTTCTGGTAACTGGAGAACTATGAAATTGAGAAATTGTAAATGATGATAAAATCAGGGAGTATGAAAGTTTAGCATTTAATGGTAGGTAGGAATTATATTCAGATGTTTCCTTTTGAGAAGTCTGCATTGAATTTCAGCATATAACCAAAGGTGGTTAAAATAATCTTTTTGACATCTTAATTCTCATATCCTTTCAGTTAAGAGAAGTGTCCTTTGGTGGTCATTCACTTGTATGTTAGAATGTTTGTCCAAAAGTCATCTTGAAGCCAGCTGTAGAGCAAGTACCCTTCTGGTACTTTCATGAAGAGAACTGGGGGTGTGCGCTGCTCTGCCAGTGGCCGACTGATTTGGCCTGGGTGGTCCTTTCCTGTCTTGCCAGCAACATTTTTGTGACTTGATCAAGGAAACAGTTTTGCAAGACATGAACTGAAGTGCTAAAAATGAGTGTGAGGAGCTACCAAGCCTGCAGAGTAGTTGTGACCTCCCAGTTCACATACTATGTAGATCTAGCCTTTCAGAAACATTCAGGGAAGTATTGAACATGACATTCTTGATGGCTTTAAGTCTGCATAGATGAACAGACTCACTGCAAACCCCTGAGGTCTCCTGTACAAGCCAGTAATAAATAATTTTAAATGCTATACACTGATTTTCCTTAAAATGTTATTTTGTCACTTTAGGAATATTAATTTTAATTTTGATTGGAATATTATCACATTTCTGTGTGCAGATTTTGCTCACACTCAGCAGTGATAAATATTTTGAGGCACATGGGTCTTTGGAATATGAATTGTGAATAACTTTTGTATATATATAATGGTATATAGTGCTTATCTAGATACGTAACAAGAACTTCTTGATCAGTGATTTGGTGTAAAGGTAGCCTAATAACCTTAAAAACAAATTTTAGCATTTCCTCACTATAATGGAGGTATAGATGCAGATTTATTACATACCTTAGATTATTATTGGACTGCAAATTTTACAGAGTTTCCTCATTAAAAGCCAAATTTGATATTTGAAGAAAAATCTTACATTGATACACCTTATGAAGGAAAAGAAATTAAACCATATATTCCTTAATCAATTAATAGTAAACCAACAAGCTAATAATATTTATGACAAATTGAAATCTCTGAACAAATTCTGAGGTTCTTAAACAGCTTCAGCAGAAATTAAAATAATACAGAGATTAAGAAATATTCTGACCTTTATTTGAATTTTTTAAAAAAGCCAAGTCAATTATTCTAATGTGCTATTGTTGTTTAATTATTACTGTAGCAGACAGTCTGACAACAGAATATGAAGCTTTTGTCAAAATACATTAAATTATGAAACTCACTTGCATTTTCAGGAGAATTTCATAATATAATCACAAAATATGCCAATTTCAAATTCCTAAGGGAAGCTGTCCTATATAGGTTTATATATTAGTCTAATGAACCATGCTGTAGATTAATTCTCAAAAAGGACAATGGCAACTGTCAAGCCACAGTGCTGCCGTTCAGCATGTAGAGTATAAAGGGTTTTTAAAACATTGTTGTGTTTTTCATTCTTCATGTTATTGCATTTTAGATTGTTGATATTATGTCTAAAAATTTTAACATTTCCTTAAATTGTATGGATTAAATCAACAGAAGGGGAAATGAGAAAGATACCCTTTCTCAGCAGATAGTGTCTTAATGCTTTTGGTTTATATATTTGACTGCATGTTTCCACCTACACTGCATGTGACCATCTCTCTGTTTCTGCTCATTCTGTCCAAATTCACATCCATGTTTCCAAATTTTGTGAAGAACAAGGACGCTGGAGTCTTTCATTCCAAAACAGGACAGTGTAGACCACCTAAGTGCTAGACCTGGAGCAGCACAGAGGTATCCTTATTTACTCAAATCACAGTTCCAAGTAAATGAGGTATTGGTTATAGTATATTCTTGATATGCTCTGCATAATACTTTCACGTTTTTAATTTTTTCTCCTTTTATGTATAAGTACATATATGCATTTATTGTTCATAGGTGATATTTAATGCCCTATAAAGTACATAAAATCCCCTACGAAGAGGTAGAGTATGACGCGAGTGTTCGCATTCCCAGTGACACGAGTGTTCACATTCCCAGTGCACACTTCGTATGTTGTATATGGGCATGAAGGGATGCCAACCTGTAAAGACTTACCTTCCAATGCCCACAGAGTGCTCAAGCAGAGCCAGGACTATGAATGGTCTAGTAGGCTGTTGAGCTATATGGAATTGTATACAGCATCATCTTAGCAAGAGGAAGGAAACGGAAAGGAAATTGTGGTTTTAAACATATTGCTAATGTGTGCTGCTCACAAGGACAGCACAGAGAGAAGTAAGTATATTTAGCTCACTCGTGATGTATTACTTTGTTACTTTTCAGAGGAAAGCATGTCTTACTCTCAGCTTTTCCATCCTACAAAGAGTCGTCACTATGTACTCTTTTTCTCCATTGCATGTAAGGTCACAGTCTAAGCAAGTGACATCAGGAGTAAAAGGAAAACAAGCCCCATAACCAGCCAAACAGAAAATGAAGAGGGTGACAAGTGATAGCGCTGCTGCATTCTGTGGATCTAACCATGACTTTAAATACTTTGCTAAACTTGGGTTTTAAGTAAAGCTGCAGCATTTAGTATGTGTTTCTATGTGTATCCACCTGGTCTTTGTCCTGGTAAAGAAAAAAATTTTTAAATGAGAATACACAAAAAATAAATATGGAGAAAATAGTTTGAGGGCAAAGATGATTTTAATATTTAATCTGGGGGGGGATATTTGTTTATATAAAAAAAATATACATTTTTTTAAAACCCAGAAAGCATCAGGTAATGAGCTTTGCTCATGCAAAAAAACCCATTTTATATTTTGTTTCAGGGTTGGTTGTGTTTGTGGATGGGTTTTCTGGTTTGGTTTGGTGTGGGGTTTTTTTTGTGTTTTTTTTTTTTTTTGTGGAGCATACTGTGTCACAATATAAAGCTCATAAAATATTGCAGTGGGTACATATAATGAAAATCCACCATGATGATATTCTTTGGATATAATTTGGTGTTATGGCTGTTTAGGTATCTTCCACTTCAGACACTAGATTACTCTTCATAACCACAAAATTTTACAAGGGAAAAAAATGAAGACGTGTATTTGTTTTGCCCACAGTAATTCTGAAACTTAGATTTAAAAGCAATTTTTAACGTTTACTTTTGGACAGTATTTTCTGGTCCTTTCGGCAACATTTTTTTCCTGCTGCCTACTCTGCATTTGTATTCCCTGCTATCAAGGGAGGGCTAAAAGGCCTCTGAGGAGGCATTGGTTCTAATCGAATACAGACTGTGAAGTGGGATCTAGCTGCACTGTTCAGTCAGGATTAATGTTACCTTCCCTGTTCTGGTACCTCATAACTTTCACACCATCAGCCTCGATCAAACCTAATCAGACCCATGTGTCTTAAACCTCGAGTCACCAGCCTGCTCATGCAGATCATTGTTACTTTTTCATCTGTCAACCACTTCTGTTATTAGCTTTACAATACATTAATAAATATATAATCTTCATATTTTCGTATTCTTTTTCTTCTTTGTTTATTTGTTTTCTGACATGTCATTTCACAGGCAGTCCAGAAAAATGGAAAGATATAGCAGCCAAAAACAAACTAGGAAAGTCTCCGCAACTGAAACAGAAAGGTAGGATTGTTGATCAATGAGTAAACATCTCTTGTAATCAATCTGATTCCAGTACTTGGAATATACCTCTAATATGACACTTAAAGTAGAAAATGTGTGACAGTACCAAAATGTATGTTGTTTTAATCAACAGTATTTTTTACTTTGTATCTATATTACTGGCACTGCTTGCAGTGTTGCGTACATGTAGAATATTTCTAGCATTCTCCATCATTGCAGATAAACTCAGTGGTGAAGACTAGCAGTCCATACGTTTCATGAGCCAAAATCCGAGACCCATTGCCACTATCTTGATCTCTGTAAGAAGAAATTTGGGAATGCGTTGCATATTTCATTACTATGGGACTAACCCTTTTCTGTGCATTACCACTGATCTTTTTTCAAAAAATCCCATCTCTTTTACTGTAACTTTGAGGATGAGAAACATATTTTAACAGATTAATAATTCCAGATGTCTGTGATCAAATTAATTTCACTTTATGATATAAAAAAATTAAGTTAGGCATTTAAATATGTATGGAAAATTTTATAATGTATCGTTATGTAAAATTGCTATAAACACTGGGACTTTAACGTTTGTATGCATTGAATTTTCCTGTACTTGTATTATCACTGTAACCTTTAGCTTTGATGCTACAGTATCTTAGGGTTTTATATTAAAATTCTTAAGAAAAAGTGTAAAAAAAGAAGAAGAACTATACATCTATGAAATCATCAGTTGTTGTGGTTTCACCCTAGCCAGCAACAAAGCACCATATAGCTGCTCGCTCACTCCCTCTTGGCACATTTAGTAGCTTTTTAAACACAGTGTATTAGTTGAAATAGCAGTGAGGAGGGGTGAGATCCTGCCTTTGTCAGAAACAGTTTTATACTGTCTTAATTAGAGGAGCAATGTACATCTCTTTACGTTGTGAGGGTTGAAAAATTTCCGTGAACATCACAGACACATTTTTCTTTTCAGTGAAAATGCATATTATATAGCAAAACTTCAGAGGTTTTATTTTATGTTCCTGCTTCAAGTCCCAGATTATCATGCCTGATCTAAAAACAGTGATTGAATTTTTCTTGGTTTTGAGGATTCTGTTGCCACAACAGCGCAGTTGCTTTTTCAGATTAGACGAGAGAAATTACCTGAATGATGGCTGAAATCCTTGCGATGTTTAAACCAGGGACAGTTTTGCCATTGAGAGCACTAAAGCCATTTTTCCTTTTTTTTTTTTTAAACTTGTGAAGAGTGAGATGAGGCACTGGGACTGAGGTCTAAGGGGCTCACAGTTCTTGATAACCATTCAGACTGTATGGTTATAAAGCTTGGTATGAAACTGAGAAGGAAGATAAGGTGCGAGAGAGCCAGGAAGTAAATGGGAAGGGAAAGATGGGAACATAGACATAACTAGCAAGTTTGGCAACAGAAAGGATAAGGAAGGAAAAGAAAATAAAAGAGATTCTGATGACAGAAGGACAGAGCAAAGAGAGTGACAGACACTGGCAGAGTACAAAAGGAGATCCCACAACTCCCATTTGAATAAATCAGTTTATCTGTATATGTGTTAACATTTCAAACCTGGTATTTCAGTGTGTGAACAGGGGGCATCTTCTACAGACGTTAAGATCACCACGTAGATCAAAAACATATATCTCAATAAATCCTGTTTACACTAACCAGTTTTTTTACACTAATATCAATATATAGACGGTATAAATCATAATTTTTAAATACTTAGAATTTCAGGTATTGCAGGTGATATAGGAACTGATTTTGAGAGCCTGCAATGAGGTGTTATGCTTAATACAACAGTGCCACATGGGCTCCATCTGTAAGGATAAGCATGTAGGTATATTTATGAAGAAGCAGCCTTTTTCAGGCTTCAGTAGTGTGTTTCTCCCCTTGAAATGACCAGGCCAGGTCTGAAATTTTCACCTTTTTTTTTTTTTTTTTTTTAATGGACATTTCAACGCTTCCTTTTTTTTAATATAGATTTTTTTTAATAATGTACAATTGAGGATTTATTCATGTATATGATATAGTGTGATTCTGCAGACCACTGTGAAATAGTGCTACAGTATCTATATAGAGCATTTATATGGGATGGAATGGGTTGGAAATTGATACTTAAAAGTCATTGTTGTGCTGAGATAAATTTGGCACTGATATGGTAATTGTAGTCACTAGCTAGTCCTAATAGTTGGGGAGTGTTGGGTTGGGGTTTTGAGGATTTTATTTTTTTTTTAAATAAACGTGAAATTTCTTTTCACAGGTGATTAGCAAAACAACCAAAAAAAAAGTTCTGGTGGGTTTTTTTTTCCCCCAAAAGTCAAGCAAAATTACCAAAAGTATGAATCCCCATAGCTAAAATTTTGCCTCCCAGAAGAGAAGACAGCTTTGATATTTAATGACGTTAAGAGCAATGAATCCAGTGTGACAAGAGCATAGGGAAACATGAATTGTGCTGCTTCTTTTTACATCTCCATGGCACATGGTGTAGTTTTCTGTTTCCATAAAAGGATTCGCTGCTATTAGAGGTGAGACACAAGTATCTAAATAAGTCTGAGTGCTGTAGTTCAGTATCTCATAATATACTGTTGCACTAGTGCCAGAAAGTTTTGATAATAGGACAGGTGATTAACTTCATTGTGAAACGGCAAATAGAACTCAGGACTATTTCTTCCTCAAATATCCATTTCTGTCTTAGATTTGGTCTTTATTTTGCAATTTGCAGGTCTTGTCTCCTATTAGCTAAGCAATTTACTGGAATGAGAGATCAGCATGCTATCAGCTTCTCTATAAGGCCTTTCAACATGCTATGTAAGATTAAGTTCTCTATGTATTGTGATAGCTTAGGAAATGTACATTAAACGGAAAAGGCAAACCTTTAGGGTTAGTTTACAGAGCTTAATCGTTTTCATAATAATTTGATGAGACAATCCTTTAAGATGGCATTCAATAAACTGTTCTGAAGGAGTAAAACTGATTACATGAAAACCAAACATTTTCAGTGCTTGTATGAATGAGCAGAACTGGGGTGAAAATTGGTTCATCCCAATCCTAATTTTTTTTTCTTTCAGCCATAACTGCTTATTCCAGAAATGCCAGATTTGTATCATAACATATATGACAGTTAACCTCATTCAGTCTTTACCTGTACTGGCTATATTTTACATAGGACCCTATGCCAGAGTTGTGCTGGATTGGCAATGCTCTCTTACTCCTAGTTTCTCTTTATGGTTCCATAAGTGGTAGCATATTTTATTTAGTATGTGCCACTGAGGCACTGGTCTGAAGAGAAAGGAATTTGCGTTTTCTTGTGTGGGCAGAGCTAGAACCCATAGGATTCCCCTATAAACCGTCGCCAACTGAAATCATAGATTTGCTGCTTGCAGTGTTACCTTCCTGTGCGAGGAGCCAGGAGATGAGAGACACACATACGTGCTTGTTAGTCTCATTGCTTACCAGGTATCATTCCCCTCCTAAATTCTTCTCTTCTCCATACTGCTGTCACTTCAGTCTTGTTTCCTCAGTTATACACTAGCTTTTGTCTCCCATGCTCGTTCCTTTTTGTCTCATTCTCCTGATCAGCCATTTGCAGGCCTCTTCCTTCCAGCAACTGATCTTTCGTGTAGGCTAGCAAGTCCTTAACTCCATTCTTCATTTTCAGAACTCAGCTCATCTTCATTATCATAAGCATCTCTTAGAATTAGGGGACTCAGTCTCTGCAAGAATATTATGGTTATCACCAGGGCAAGCCAGGAGCTAAACTGAAGCAGCATTACAATTTAAGAGAGAGAATATAGCAAGGGCAACAGAACCCTGGTTTTCTTGCATTGTGACTGGACTTCCACATAAACTGTTTCTGATTAAACGGCTTTGAAACCAAACCTGTTCGTTAGCCTTGGTAGGCATCTGCATGTTACCTTCTATACTTTTTGTTTTAGGATGACTTCTTAGGGTATGATAGCCATATGAACCTGACAGTCCCTTGGTTACTTGGACTGTAACTTATGGGAAAGCTGTGCTGGATCTGGGGAGGGAGGCTACATAAACTTGCAGGAATTAAAAAAACCCAAACCAACCAACCAAAAATACTCACAGTGAAATGATATCACAGGAAATTAATATTTGTGAAATAAAAGCAGATAGTGTAGTACCATTTACAAACCACTGCACTACTGGGAAACCAAAGAAGAGGGGCTTTTTTTTTAAAGAGATGTTTAAGAAATGGAAAGGCTTTGTGGTAAAACTAGGTATTGATAGCCCATTCTATGCTAGTACTTACGTCATACGTGTTGTTAGCTTGTGTTTGCTGTGTTTAAGACTGTTGTGGTTTAGCTGCAGCACAAAGATGAAGGTAGAGTAGGCCAGCTGTCCACTATATGCAGTGCAGTTCAGCAGTTCCACAGTTAGGGTCATGTGTATCTGCAGTGGTGAGTCTTCTGCAGTTTATCATTTGGGAAGTGGGTTTGCATTCAGAACTAATAAATTCAGTCTGAAATGTCATCCCTTGTCCTGCAGCCAGGATTTGCAATGTTCTTTGGTGGAGGGGGGCATGGGAATGTGTTCCTGGAGCTAACAACTGAACAGTTTCTTTTTGGCCCTGATGTTTTAGGGGTCTGCAACCATGTCTTTCTAGAAGGGGACTTCCAACCCCACGAACGACTGAACAGCCAGTCATTAGGGGAAAACATCACGCTCGCTCAAGGTCGAGTGAGCTCTCTAGTGTCAGACCCTTATGCTCTGTACATCACCTAGCGCCTGGAGGGTCGGCGCCACCTTCTCCACTTCTGACAAGGTTGCTATTACATGTACAGCACAGCTTTCGTGTTCTGCCTCCCAGATGTCAGTGTGGTGTTGTACTTTCCTGAGCATACATGGCGCGCTCACCCATCCTGGTACTGTAGATTATCCTCTCTTCATGGTATTTACACTTCTCCCCCATACCCTTTACGCCGCCTATCTTCACCATCCAGATAGTAATTTTTGCTGTTGAACTTCAGTAGTTATGCAGTGTAAGAGTAAAAAATCGGCTGTGTTTTGTCCTTCCATTGTTGTGTTTTGTTCTGTATCCATATGAAAAGTATCAAAGTATTGTGCTTTAACACTCTGCGGGAAATCACGTGCTGTTCGCGCAGCTAACCCTGATCTTGCGGGCTAAGAGGCAGTCAGTTGATCTACACCAACAGTATTTTGAACTTGCTCAGATGTGTTCCATGAAATTGCAAATTATCTACTTGCAACCTTAGTGTAGCAAATAAACAGTGCTTATGCACTATAGTGAGCGCGACGTTACTGTAACTGGCAAGGACGTTTGACAGTAGGCTCTCCCTCTCGGTGCTCTGATTCTTCTCATCCTTGTTTTACTTTCTTAAACAGAGGTGGCCCTACTTATTTTAAATGCAAACTTACCAGCCTTCCAAAAGTGTTTGCTGTGCTACACTCAGATGCTGTAGCTATCCTAGTGTAGTGGAAAGCTACCCTATTATAGATACAGCTATTTCAGAGCACCTCGGCTACTTGATGAGAAATCAAGTAATATGATCAATACATCTTATCAAGTAGCCGAGGTGCTCTGAAATAGTGCTAGCTAGAGTTCCACCCAAGGGGTTTAGGATATTTACTTTGGTAAGGATATTAAAAATCTTGTACATTTTCCAGCTCACAAACCCATGCACCCCGTCAATAACAAGGTTACAGGTCTTTTTCCGCCTTTGAGTTCAGGGAGAAGCAACAGGTTATCCCATGGGAAGAGATACTTGCTGTCCAGTTCTCTGTGGCTTTGTGCAATTATTGCATCAGCACATACGAAATAGAAAAGTTAATAAAATACAAAGGTGGCATTTTGTATTGCTGTTGTGTCAGTGCAGGAAAACATACATAAATCGTGAGTCATAATCATAAATGGTTCTTAGAAAACTGCTTTTCATTCAGTGGTTTTAGACTAGTACTATATTTAAAAACAATCACACACAAAAAAAACAAGCAAACAAACAAAAAAACCCAACAACAGCAAAAACCCAACATAACAAAGGAAAATATTTCTCTTTACTTGAAGGTAGTTAGAGAAATTAAACAGTGAGGTCTTGTAAGTTCACTAGGTATCCAGACCTGAGTATGTGCATATGGCATACACCAAATGCAACCACCTTCAAACCCATCTTCAGTATATGCAACTTATAATGTGTTTGAAGTTCAGAATATAAAAATTCTCTTCATTTGGGTTATTTTACTTTAATCTTCATTTGATTTGCAGAATACATCAACAAGGAAGTCCCACACAGTCTCCTCCTGCAGACACATCCTTCAGCAGTCGCAGGGGAAGACAGCTACCGCAAGTTCCAGTAAGAAGTGGCAGTATAGAGCAAGGTATCAAATAATGAGCTTATGATAGCTCAAACTCTTTGATTTCTTACCTTTTTTTAACTTAAAGTCTTATTTCATACGTATATGTTCTATGCTATAATTCTACCTGCAATAGAAGAGAATGAAAGCATATTTGTAGTCTGGAAAATCCAGTAGAGTTTGATGGGTGGATTATTACACATGGTTTAATTGTCTTAATTTTCTAGTACCTTCATATGTTTGTCTACTTCAAATTTTCTATTAGAGTCGTAGTAGTTTCCAACACATATCTAGTTTGTATTAAGCTAAAGAAATCAGGGGCAAAGATTGTGTCAACATTCCGACAGTCTTACTTCTTATTTTGTGGTTTATATTAATTGTTGTGCATTGTTAACATAAATTAATAATAAATATCACAAATCTGCGTTTCTTCTGAAGTTTATAGCTCTGATAATAGAATAAAAATCATCAAGATGGGAAATGTGAAAGCACAGGTCATGAGCTCTTTCTTAAGAATAAATTGATCAGGCAAAGGGTGCTGCCCTTACTGAAAAAGGCAACGTAGACCTAGTGACTGTGGAAGATGTTTTTACATACTGATATCAAATAAGTATGAATATTGCTGTTTCCTTTTCTAGCATCATACTGCCCACAGAGTATGAGCGATAACGGTAAAATGAACTAGCACAATGGATAATATTTGCATGTTCAGGTTTTCTTCTGAGTTTAAAAAGCTGGTTTTCTCATTGACTACAAGCAACAACTGAGATTGCCATGTCCCACAAGGTTTTGTTCTGCATTACAGAAATGCTTCTGATAATGTCATGTTGTTGTGCTTTGTAGACCTGTTGGCAGACCGCTTTCTTTAACAGATGATGTTGCTGACCATGACCTTTGTATCATGATAATTACCAGAGGTTTTTTTGTATGATGGCTCACATTAACATGAAATCAACTTACATTAGGTTTATGGCTTTGAGCTGTGATGGCAGTCAATTAACACATATGAAAATGTATTCTTGTATTATACATGTGTTTGTTCTGAATGATTAATATACTAGTATGTGAGTTTTATTAATTTTAAACTTTATTTTTGAGTTTTCTCATTTTGTTTTATAGTTAATCTAGGACTCTCTGGATTATAAACTAGTTACTTTTACAATGCTACATTTACAGCTTCTGTTTCTACATATTACTAACTTGGGAGCTTTTTAGGGAAATGTAATACCTAAGGAATTTCAATTTTCGTTCATGTTACTTCTGCAATTTCAGAACTTGGTACAATATATAATGATGAATCAGCTTTTAATTTAATTTTAAAATGGCTTTTCTTTGCATATTCATATATCAACTTTCTACTGGTTTCGGTAACTTGTGTGTTGAGGATAAAATACTAGTTTATGTTTGGTTTAATATATTGGAAATGAATGCAGAATTTACCGTGGAAATGAGTAGAGATGGGACTTATATAGAAAAGGAGAGAAAAAATTGAATTTGAGCAGAAAGATAAGGTTACTCTGAGTTTGGAAAGTTGTTGATACTGTGAACATCTCTAAAGCAACTCTGCTTTACACTTGTGGTTGATATGCTTGCGTCTTATGCATTAAATGTACAAGTAGAATGTGACATGTCATTTACTTTGTTGTTATATATCATACTACCTATGTCAATATGGCACATGGAAACAAAGGCTAAAGAGATTTCCTTCGCTACATAGTACTTTGGTTTTGGTTAAGCGACTGGCTTGTCGTTTTGAAGGGGAGGTTTTCTGGTTTTACCCATGTTTAATACATGGTTCAAGCTGAGAATATATTTGCAGAGAAGTACTGAATTGAAGAGATTTTATTAAATATTTAAAATTATTTTGTCAGTATATCTGAAATATATTTGATAGTGTGTATAAACTTAATACTACTTGAAATTAAATTCAGTGAGGGAGGCTATGAGACCATAGCATTTCTCTGATTTAGAGTATCAAATTTTAGTATCAGTTTCATTTCTTTAATCCTTTTCAGATGAGTATCAGGGTCAGATGGAGTGACTAGAAGTGATCTGACCCTAATGTAGGACTGAATCCAAAGCATATTGAGGTCTGTAAAAGATTTGCATTAACTGTACTTGGAACAGAATTGTATCCTTCATGATTTAAATTCACGGTCACCATGGATATAGATGATGTCGAATTCCAGTGCAATATACAAATATTATAGGGAGCATTTCAAAATTCTTTGTATTTTCTTAATTTCTAAATATATCTAGTTCTTGGTGGTTGGTATTGACATCTTGTGTTTCAAGGAAATGCTGTATGATATACCATAAGGTATCACTTTAATAGTAAAGTACTTCTTTACACTTCTTTACAAGTTCTGTTGTGCCAGTAGGGTTGAATACATATCTAAATATATACATCTGTGAATCTACATATGTTTTACAAATCACAGTAATTACTGTAAAAAGATCGAATGTCTGTGTATCAAGGCTGCATTTTTTATTTGCTGTTTGCATATTCAGGAGGCACAGAAGAATCCACTAAAGTAATTTTACTACTCTCTAAATCTCTCATTATGGAACACAGGAGAGTTAATGAAGGAGCAAGAGACTGGTAGTGGTTTTCATCTCGAGAAGCAGAGTGATATTTTAATTCTTGATCTTCAATGAGATTTTTAGTCTCAATAATTAATCTTTAGTTATCAACTTTAAATTATCATATCCATGCTAATAAGGCTTCATCTAGGATTGACATTGCATCTTAGACATTCCATTCTGTCATTGTCAAGTTTGGAACTGAAAAACAAGGTTTCCTTATCTCTACCAGATAATGTTGTCTTAGTTACTGTTTTGGTCGGCAGCTTGAGAATCATAAAAATTCAACTTGTGAAAAATAAGGTAGTTTTAAAAAGTGCTTATTAGTAGACAAATTTCATGTTAAAAGAAGTCATAGAAGTAATTCTTACAGAGAAGACCAAAGTACTGTTTCCCTAGTCTGTTACAGAAATGGGTTTTAGTGATCAGGAACAGAGAGAAGAATCTTACATATAGAGGAAAAAGTCCAGTCTCAGGACTAAAACCTTAAAATAGCATAATTATGCACACTGGCAAAAAAAGAAAAAAAGACTTCTTGGTGATTATGTTCTAAAGGGGATAGCAGCTTTGCCTGGTTTCGGCGTGGGGGAGGGAGGTAGTTATTTTCACTTGGAACAGTTCTAACTAATATTTTTAGCAACTCCAGTGCATGCGGACTTTGTGAAGTGGTAACAGTTGAGTTTTAATCCCAGTGATGTTGAAGAACACATGGCTGTATTTCTTTCCTTTGCAACCCCATCGGCAGTATTTTCTAGAGTGGAAGACACACTGGCATGTTATTGCAACTAAAGGTTTTGAGGTGCTTGAATATCGAAAGTTAGTCTGGCATAGTTGTGTCTGTCTGTGTGTGTTTCCAAAAAGTCATGATTTAGTAGTCATTATTCTAACTTATGCTACTTAAGAAGTGGTTTTTGTTTCTTTGTTTTAACTGGTAATTTTATAAAAGGACCTAATGATATGAAGATGTTATGGCTCAGTGACTAAAGCAGTGAAATTCTAAGCCATGGTAAGGACAATGCTGTTCTCAGTATGTCATCGTGTGCCGAGCTGTAAGAGATTTGCACTGAAGTTTTTTTGTATTTACACATCAGTAAGAGGGGTGAGGATTCTGCGTTGACTTCGTTTTTCATCTATTTCTCTAACAACTTTTCTATACAGTTGTATGGTTTTTAAATGATACTTTTGTATAAAGCATGTTTCTGCAAGCTCTACTCAGTCCTCTGTCATTGCAACTGTCAAACGTCACATGAATTCTTGCTTGATAGGATTTGAGGGTGAGTCTCTACACTCCTGTATAATGGTTAATCATTGTATTGATCAAGGAAATGAATACAGCATGAAGATCTGTAGTATTTTTCTACACTCCTTTTTAGCTGCAGTACATAATATTAGAGATAATACTAGGAAATCGAGCAAGTGAATAAGAAAAAACAGAACAGGTAATATCGAAATTTATGAACCAGCAAGATAAATGTGCAATGATTGCAGTATAGAAACGATCTTTAAGACCTAATTCATGCAAAACAGGTCTTTCTCCCTGTATCTGCTTCTATTTGGCTCTTTACAGCATGATTTCTTTTTCATAGCCTCAACAATGTGGTTTCATGTGTCAGAAGTCCTATAATGAGAGTAAGATTTGTGATAATCAACAGCCTATCTACATGTAAATGGCATCTGTAAACATAACTGAAGTAGTGTGGTTGTATGTGTTTCCAGTGACATCTGTTTACGACAATAGACCTTACGCAGTTACCTTTAGGAAAGCAAAAGTGCGACCAGCATTAAGTACTGCTCTGTCTTAGCTCGTGTTAGCAGATCTGCGTAAGCTCTGTACGTAGCTTGTGAGCAGGGTGAAATGCATGTATGCGTGTGTGCTGCTGTTTGTGAGAGAAAGCTACGTTGGAGACTCCACTGGTACCGAAAGGGGATTACTTGTATGAGGTTCATGTGTGTAATACATGTACAAGTCTTTAATGGTAGTCACGTCATAGAGGAATTAAGTGTTGTGATGTCCAAAGTAAGAATCTGAATTTTGCACAGAAAATCAGTCTGTTGTCAAATAATACATTGGAGTTGCAAATATCTTTTCCTATTAAATCAAGTTAAGATCCTAAAAACAAAGGAACAGCTAGTGAAATCCATTCTCTGTATATGTGCTTGATCATTGAAATGTCATTGCAGTGAGAGTATGGCTTGAGTAATGGTAAAAGATCAAACCCTTTCAGTTAAAAACTTTTTCCAGATCCACTGATATAGAACTTAGCAAAAGAAAAAGTCATTTAAATTAGTCTTTTAGTATTGTTTGTTTTGTCTTCATATTTCTGGTTTTATTTTGAAATTATTAGGTGGCACTGCATATTTTGAGGCAGCTTGTGGAATCTTTACTCATGCTGGAGAATATTTTTTCTCAGCATTGCTAACTCTTACAAATGAGTTTAAGC